ATTGTTGTTATTATCTACTACTTAATGAAGGAAATCATACAGTATATGACCTTCTCCCTCTGACTTATTTCACTTTGCATAATACCCTAAATGTCCATCCATGTGGTCACAAATGGCTGGATTTCATCGTTTCTTATGGCTGGGTAGTATTCCATTGTGTATATATACCACATCTTCTTTATCCATTCGTCCCTTGATGGGCACTTAGGTTGCTTCCAAGTCTTGGCTATCTTAATGACATCAGAGCTCTCGGGTAGCTGCTTTGCTCTTCTCTTAGCTTTCCTTTCAGAGTTACAAGATGGTTGTCATGATTCCAAACAGGTTTTCATACAACAAAAGTCTCTAAACATGAAAGGAAGGGGGAGAGTTTTTCCTAACATGTGTATGCTTTTTTTGTTATTAGACTAGAGAGTCTTTACCAAGAGCTCCCAGTAGAATCTCCCTTGTCTCAGTGGTTAAAACTAGATAACCTGCTTACTCCTAAAGCAATCACTAGCAAGGGGCAGTAAAATTACCATAATTGGTTTTGATGAGTCATGATCCATCCCCTAGTTCTGGGCACCTTCTGCCTGGTATTGAATCAAAATTGCAGCTCTTGTGGCAGGGAGGAAGGGGTCATGGTTCTTGAGTAGGCAACCAGGAGTACCTGCTGTACACCACTTTATGAAATTTTGTTCTTGGAGAAATGTGACAAGAGATTGATATTACAGCTGTATTCTATAGTACGTGTTAACATTTTAAGTTGGTAACAAATAGGGAAATATATGTACTGAAATATTACAGCAATTCAAAATTGATTACAGTGGCTTTTTGTATTGCTGTTTTCTGAAACAACTTTTGGATAGTCTGATTTTTGTAACTCTTATGAGTAACGATTAAAGATTTATTTGCAGGAATAAACAGCTGTGTAGCAGTATAACATATACTGTGCAGATCAAATGAATGGCTTTAGAACAAAGTGCATACATCAAAGTAAGATAATACACTTTCTGTAACAAGCTGTATTGAGGGGGAAAGGTGCAAATGGCTGAAAAATAAATAGTGAACACCTGTGCTGAATAAATTAACCAGCTGGTCGGCAGTTTTTTATTTGACTCATCTAAAAGAGTGACTGTTACTAGGCATTAATATGACATATTCACTTCGAGATTTTCCTTTCTTACTGCCATTAATTGATAAACATTACTAGATAATATCAGAATTTATACCCTCAAATTTTCAGGGTTATATATAGATTTTGGCAATTAGTAAAAAATGCATTACACAAAGCAGTATTCAGAAGTTGCAGTTAGGTAAAATTATCTCAAAAATATTGTTATACAGTATTGTAAATGGCCTTTGAAATTCAAATTAGCAGTATAAATTAGATTAGATTTCATTTATAAAATCTATTTTGATACTGAAAATTTTTATAAGAACTAATGATGCAGAGTTTTTCCCCTTTATATGTTAAAATCATAGGAGCATTTTAGAACTCAGAGGTTCCTTTGAGAGCTTATAATCCAGCCACATTCATTTACAACTGGAAAATGTGTTTTTATACTTTTCAAATACTTTAAAATTAATAAAATTGAGTTACTATATTCTTCTGAAGTTTTCTTGAAAAGGTTGAATTATTTTTTTTAAGAAAGTGTTTTTTTTACCATAGTATAAAGTTTTAAATATGAGGGAAGGTAAGTTCTTTTTGATGAACAGAATTTTGCTTACTGAGGAATTAAGTGGAGTTTTGAAAGTTTGCTGGTGTTTTTATAAACTTCTAGTTAGGTATTAAATTCGACCTTGGCAGAACTCCAGAAATATTGTGGTGGTTGTTAATGGAAAGTAAGGACACCATTGTGTTTTTATTGCACGTGTTTTCCATAGTGCTATGGATTTCACCAAATCATGATGTTGAGAACCGTAAAACTTAATAGCTTATGGATGTAGAACAAATTCACAAAGAAGAATTTCTTTCCTTACACTTATACCTCTAATTAAGTATGCTGACATATCTTTCAGATTGTCCAGCACTGGTTAATACATATCATTCATGCTAGAAAGCCCACTTTCTCAAAATGTAATAAGAGGGCCACTGACTAGATCAGTTGCTGTGCTCAGTTTCCATGGTGTCATCATCATGGTCTGTTATAAGTTGCCATATTCTCTCTTATCTGTGAAGTGTAATTAATTATCCTGTCATTTCTTGGTTTAATCGTTAGGCGTGGAACTGTTGCTGAAAGTTGTCACTTTAGATCCCTCATGGAACACACTTTGGTTTATTGGTTTTCAAAATAATGAAAGAGAATACAGAATGTGAACAATTCTATAAAAAATATATAAATCACATTTAATATTATTGTTCTTCATTTTTAATGTCACTGATGGCAATGGTGCTATTGTGTGGTTATGTGGCTAAGGAGGTTTCAACATGTGATCTCAGAAAACCTAGGTACATGTGTTTTGAGTTGCCTTTGACCTGTGGGGAGTTTAACAATATCTTATATTTGATTAACCTTTTAGAGTTTATAAAATACTTTTCATATATGTTAGCTCATTTATCTCACAGAAGCCTTATGAAAGGTAAGGCAGATGGAATGATCTCTATTTTATAGATGGGAAATCTGCGAGATTAAGTGACTTGCCTAATGTCTGCTAAGTAATGCATCAAGGACTAGAACTTCTCCACTACGGTTTCCTAGATCTAAGAAGTATTTGTTGTAACATTAATGATATCAAGTCCTTTTTTCATTCTGTTTAATTAAAATTACTAGATTATAACAGAAAACATCATGGCATTTTATTTATTGACATTTAAAATAAGTTATTTTATTTTATTTATTTATTTTTTGTGAGGAGGACCAGCCCTGAGCTAACATCCATGCCAATCCTCCTCTTTTTGCTGAGGAGGCTGGCCCTGGGCTAACATCCGTGCCTATCTTCCTCTACTTTATATGGGACACCACCACAGCATGGCTTAACAAGCAGTGTGTCGGTGCACGCCCGGGATCTGAACAAGCGAACCCCGGGCCACCGCAGCAGAGCGCGCACACTTAACCGCTTGTGCCACCAGGCCGGCCCCCCAAGTTATTTTATTCTTTCATTGTGTCCTTTTTTATTGTAGTGTTTATTGTGTTAATTTTAATAAAGCACTTTTTTTCATTGCACCCAGACTTTTGGATTTACAATTTTAATTTTTTCCTGGCCTAATTTTTTGTGTTTTCTACAAATAAGCTTGTTTCATATATATCTCCATCTTTTGCATGTATAAACCATTTATTCATCAAACATTTATTAGATATGTGTATAGAGCAGTGCAGTAGGTGTTGTGAGGGGCACACAAGAAGAGATGTTAGGGTCCTCACTCAAGGGAATTAAAGTTCAGAAGATAAACTGTATACTGGACATCCAAAGGACTATTAAAAAGAAACTCATGAATAAATGGAAGGTAAACTGCATGCATGTGTTATGGGGGCATAGAGTAATAGAACGATGAGTGTGGTTGGGTTAGGGAAGACTTCTTGGAAGTGAAATTTAAACTTTTTCTTAGAATGGATACATTGTTGAAGTATATGATTATGTTTGGGGATGGGGGAATTGTGTGTGGGAAAAATAGCCCAGAAGGAACAACTGATATGGGCCAAAACATGGAGATTAGAGTTGGTAAATTGGGAGTCAGAGATGCCACGTTGGAAATTAGGAGAGATGAGACAAGAACATAGTAAATAAAGAAGGTGATTTGGTTTAGAGACAGGAAGAGGAAGATTTTGTGGGGTAGGGTTTAATTGTGGTATAAGGAAGAGCTGCTGTTAGTTCTTGAGCAATCAATTAGCAGATGTTTACTTCCCAAGGCTTATCATGTACGGGGTGTTTTTACTGTTGAGCGAAGTTGAGCGGTAGAGCAACTCACTGGAAATGTAGGTTCTGTGGAGAATAAAACATCATGGAGAAATACATGATGGAGGCACACTGAGCTGGAGCCTGTTGTATCAATCCAGGCTGAGAATGGACTGAGAATGTTAACTCTAGTGGTACCTTTGGAAGTGGGCTTCCAGTAGAGTAATAGACACTAATACTAACACAAAATACAGCAGGAAAGAATGCGGAAAGATCCTGTTAGATACCACGTTGTGATAAACCAACTTAAACTTTCATGGCAGTTTTTTTCTAGCTCTGTCACACCACCAGTAATAATAATAATCTCTGATAACTACTGTTGTTGGGCATTTCCTATGTGCCAGGTGCTCTGCCAGGTTCTTTGCATGTGATGCCGCATTTAATCTTCAAAACAACCTTGTGAGGTGGGTAGCATTATCCCTATGTTATAGATAGATAATTTAGAGAGGATAAATAATTTGTCTAAGTTCACAGTTATCTACTCTTAGGGTCAGGGTTTGAACTCGATCTATTTATTCTGAAGGCTGTGCTTGTAAGCACTGTGTTGATTTTTTGTTTTTTTGAGGAAGATTGGCCCTGTGCTAACATCTGTTGCCAATCTTTCCTCTTTTTTTTTTTCTTTTTTCTCCCCAAAGCCCCAGTACATAGTTGTGTATCATGGTTGTAGAGTTATAGCTCTTCTATGTGAGACGCCCTCAGCATGACTTGATGAGCAGTGAGTAGGTCTGTGCCCAGGATCGGAACCAGCCATACCCGGGCCACTGAAGTGGAACTCAAGAACCTAACCATTACGCCACCAGGCCGGACCCGATTGATTTTTTTTTTTTCCCTATACAATTTCCCTGTCTGCGTTAAATTCTCAAAAATGTGACGTGTGATACGGCCTGCTAAACACTGAAGTCTTTATGTGTGTTTTTCAGATCTTAATTATGTTTCATATTGTACTGAAACCTTAACAAATGAATGTTTAATGTGTGGGTCACATAAGGCAAAACACACACTGAACTTGATAAGATAAATGGGGTAAAGAAAGAAAAATTGCCATTAAAAGTTAAAATAATATAAAAATGTAGCCAAGTACAATTATCAAAAGCATGGTGTTGATTATTATTATAATTTCTCATTAGTCAGGATTTGCATGAAGATGTTGAAGAAGCTGGTGCACTGCAGAAAAATCACGCTTCTGTGACATCTGTGAACTCCACAGAAGCTGCAGATTCTGCTTGCCTGCCTACAGAAGATGAGTCATTAAGCACTACGAGCTGTGAAATGCCTGCAGAACAAACTCCAAGCAGTGATCCAGAGAGTGCTCTAGAAGTAAATGATGTCGAAGCAACAGGGGAGAAGGAAAACCATCGTGATGATAAAACTTGTGTGCTGTCAACTTCAGAAGAGGAAACAAGTGAAAATGTGCCTCCAGTAGAAGACACGGCAGAACAACCAAAGAAAAGTAGGATTACCTACTCGCAGATCATTAAAGAAGGCAGGAGATTTAACATTGATTTGGTATCAAAGGTAAGTACCAATTTTACCCATCTTATCGTATAGCAACACTAATTTTTAATTGATTTAAAATAGCATCTGGGCCCATAAACCCAATTTTCATATTTTTACTCTCTTAGTATAGAACGTTTGTTTTATAAAGAGATAGTGGCCAGCAGTTTATAATTCAGTTAAAATATTCTTTAAATATAGGTTCAAAACACAATAAAAATGCTCAGTACTGTATCACAAGGATACTTTTGTACTGGAGCACATAGTCCACCTTAATATTCTCCTACTGCATGGACACTATGAATTCTATCAAGAGAAAAATTCTAGCAAACCTAATTACAGATCCATGTTATTTATAATCAATCTATTAAATGAACTTTTTTTTAGCCCTTATATATAATAACTTTTAACTTCTGTATGATGATCAACATTCTGAATGAACCAATGCATTTTTGAAAATCATCTGTTCAGGTGTGAGGGCTTCGGAGGATAATGTAATGGTAGTGGGGGCAGGGAGGCTGGGAAGACTGCTATTCTATTGTCTTCCGTTATGTTTGCATCCTTAGCTCTAATGTTAGGTAAGCGTGACTTCAGAGGAGGTCCCTGAGTCTTAAGAGGGTACAATGTTGCATTGGGTTTATAGGAAGCAAGACTAATTTAGTGCAAAAGAATAGAAAACCAGGAAGATAAAGGATAATGGCCTTAAAGGATTACAATATAGGGCTGGGTGAAAGTAGAAAGAAACAGAAACCAAATTCGTAAGATGAGGGCAAACAATCAGAAATTGGAGAGAAGTAGGAGACAGCAGTGAATAACATCAGACTCAAAAGTAGGGTTTTCAATTTAATGTGCTCTCCTGAAGTTCCATGTTATAGGATAAAGAGAGGGGCTAATGCATGCTCCTCACATTTTGCTGGTACAATCCCATGCCCTCATACTGCTGCTCTCTTTGAATGTGATGCCTGAAAATATGAATATCTTTTTACTAGCCGTTGTTTCTTTCTATCACATAGCTCTCTCTGTCTGATTCTAGCCTGGTGTGAGTTGGCTACTGCCTTGGTCCTACTTCATATTTCTGTACTGTCTGTTCCACCTTCTCCATCTACTTTGACCCTGCCATGCTTTGAAATCTATCATTCTTACCATGTTACGTTGGCTATTGATTTCTGGGTGGAAGTTTAATCATAGCTCACTAATAGTCTTCCTATTCTCGTGAGCAGGAAATAAGTTTGAAAAAAACAAAACAAAAAACTGAAGTAGTCAAGTAACAAATGGGCTTTGTTCTGAAAATTTGATCTTGAATTAGTTACTTGGAATTTGGAGTGCCTAACTTAAACAATGATATAAGTGATGGTTAAGAATCAAGGCTAGGTCATAAAAATGTCTAACCCTTATGGTAGCTGAAATACAGTATAAATCTTGCAAAGGAAAACGATAGAAGAAGGTACTGTTTCAATTTTTGGAATTAGTGTAGGAAACTACTTGTATAAGAAAGTGAATACTGGTTGTGGTGGAGAGGAAGATAGTTGAATTAGATGCTGAGACATTTGAGGAGACTCTGAAGAGATTTCTGGGCATTTTCATGAGTTCAAATGGTTAATAGTAGTGGTTCTCTTAGGGTAAATTATAAACAAATGTGTCTGGAGGAGTCAAGGCAGTTGTACTTTGTCCTGCATAGTTTCCATGGGCTCATACATTTAAAAAATAACCAATAATAATTTATGGTACTCCTACAAAAGCAGGAATAGCTAAAGAACGTATAACCATAGCAATACAAGAGGCTTAGTATCATTTTTTTAAATGTTAGTCATTTAATGAACATTTATTGAGTGCATACTGTGTGGAAAGAAGTGTATTCCATGATATTGGCAATCAGTAACTCCTTGGAAATTCTACCTGTTCTAATAATTGTGGTTATACATCTAAGTTTAGGGTGGTTGCCGAGTATCTGAAGCCCTACCTCTTTCCTAAAGTCTGGTTTGATATCTCCAAACTACTTGACATTTCTACATGCATTCTGTCTCAAAATCATCATGGTAAAACTGACAAGTAGTGCTTTACAGTTTACAAAACACATCCAGGTATACAGTCTTTTAAACAGTAATGTTATAGCTCAGAGTAGGTTAGTTAAATAAAATACTTGATAGTATTATACTGTTTAGACTAATAGAGAAGATGATCAAAGATGATATTCTTACAATTAAAACTCATTTCTAATAAAGTCCATACCCTTAATAATTATGGAACCAACATGCCAAGTAAAGCAAAAATTGTTAATTATTAAATCTAGTTCCTATTATTTTAATCAGATTGAAGTATTGAGCCTCTCACCACTGTGATATTGCTGTGGCAGATCACTTAGAGTGGTGAAAAAGAGGCTTAGGTTTAAATATGGTACATATTTGTTAATTCTAATCTTCAGACAAAAGTTTAGTGTAGTTTTAATTGAAATGTGTTTTTGCTCTTCAGTAATATCTTAAATGCATTATTTTTTTAAACTGGCATTAAATCTTAAGCTTTATTAGATCTTATTAAGTGAAAATATATTTTGTTTGATATATTAATATTTGTGAAATTATGACTACTGAGGAATCATTGAATTATGAGTATTTGTGTTTTTAAACAAATGAAGTATTGGAAGTACTTGTTTTTTATTATAATTATGGAATTAAGACTTGGCAATATGTTCTTAAAAACATGGGCTGTATCAGTTGTATAGTGTATTAGGCTGAAGGTAATAAAGTAACATGCCGTATTTAGTCAGGGTAATTGGATTAGTTTCAAAAACCTCGATGTCAGTTTTGTTTCTTCTACACAACGCTGGGCTAATATAATAGTTTATAGAAATTTGCCGAACTGATATTGATTTACAGAAAGTCTTTATTGACCTCTTGGATACTCAGACTAATGGTTTAGATCAATTTTTGAAATTCCCATTTTCTTCGTAGTAAGCTAATTTTTTTCTTTACTTTTCCCCCTTATTACAGATGTAACACTTACATTTTTAACATTTATCGAGTTATAGTCACCTAAAGGTATCTCAATATAGGAAATAGCCAAATCTGTTGCATTTAACCATATGGTTAAATTTAAAACATACTAGATAATACTGTTGAAATTGTTTTTGTCTTTCTGATATTGGTTATGAGGGAGATGTTGAAAAATTAAATCAGTCCCTCACATGTATGCTGGCAATAACGATCATCCTCGCTTCTGGAGAAAGACATGTCTCATATAAATCTAGACTGCTGGAACTACAGAAGGATCTTGTAATTTGACTCTTTGGTGGAAATGCATACCCAGTCTTTTTCTTTCGTGGTCAATGAGGAGGGCCAGCAAGCTGGTTTCTTCTTAATAACCACTTGGCCTTATAGAAGGCTACAGCCCCTTATCCAAAACCCTTGGGACCTGCTGTGTTCTGTGATTCAGATTAAAGAAAATATTTTAGAAAGTAATGAAGTACATATGCTACATATTATGTTACATTCTTAGCAGTGTCTGAGTAGGTACTCTATAATTAAACATATTAATATTTCTGAAGCCAAATATATAAATATTTACTTTCAGTGGGATAAACAGAGAAGAGCCTTATATCAGTTTGGATCAAGTTTTTTTTGCCAACCCAGTTATGAAAAAACTTTGGATTCCAGAGTTTTTTGGATTTTGAATTTCAGATGATCAATTGTGAATCTGTAATAAATTGTTATGTATTATAATATTAATAGGTTTAATGCTTTGTACAAATAATTTAAAATGTAACAAAATTATATATCTTTGTTTAGTGCTTATCAGTTTTTTCCACTGTTTCCACTTTTATTTCATCCTCTAAAATATTTTCTTTGTACAGCTGCTATATTCTCGGGGATTGCTAATTGATCTTTTAATCAAATCTAATGTTAGCCGGTATGCAGAGTTCAAAAATATTACCAGGATTCTTGCATTTCGAGAAGGAAGAGTGGAACAGGTACTGTGCTGATCAAGTATTGTAACTGGGTATGAGCTCAATTGTTTATTATGATTTGTTTTGGAAGATAAGCAAATAAGATTGTTATTTTCCTGGTAAAGCAGCAAATTCCAATCCTGCATGGTGATTTACAAATGTAAATAGTGAGAGATTGCTCAATTAAAAAGTCTAGTATTAATTTTTTCTTGAGTTATTCTGCAGCTTGATGTTGGTCTTGGGAAAGTGTTAATTTCAGGCAGCACTGGTAGATTTGAGCTGTCATTTGCTCCCAGTTAGGGGTGACATGCCATTGGTCTTGTAATGGTATAAGGAGCAGCTTGGCAGAATTAAATAAAAGACTTCACGAGTTAATTAGCTCTGAAGTCAACAGAGATGCCATTAGTACTGGTGGAAGGTAACATGAAACAGCCTGACTAGAATGGAAATAATAGTATTCTTATACTGAGAGAAAAAAATGTAATTTGGAATCCTTGTATCACTAGGAAGCAGTTTTTTAACTTAAAGTCATGTTTCTCAGGTTCCTTGTTCCAGAGCAGATGTCTTTAACAGCAAACAACTTACTATGGTAGAAAAGCGAATGCTAATGAAGTTTCTTACATTTTGTATGGAGTATGAGGAACATCCTGAGGAGTATAAAGGTACTGTTTTTCGTTAAATTGTGTTCTCCAATTATTTGAGCTTTCTTATTAATATGCTTGCTCTGATGTAGTGAGCTACTCTTCTAAAATACATTTTTACTCTGCATTATCCAATTGGTTAGTCATTAGCAACATGTAGCTTTTTAAATTTAAATTAATTAAAATTAGGGGCCGGCCCAGTCGCATAGTGGTTAAGTTTGCACGCTCCGCTTAGGCAGCCCAGGGTTCCTGGGTTTGGATCCCGGATGTGGACCTGTGCACCACTCATCAAGCCATGTGTGGTGGCATCCCACCTACAAAATAGAGGAAGATGGGCACAGATGTTAGCCTGGGGCCATTCTTTCTCAAGCAAAAAGAAGAGGATTGGCAACAGGTGTTAGCTCAGGGCCAATCTTCCTCACCAAAAAAAAAAAAAAAATTAAAATTAAATAAACTTTAAAATTCAGTTCCTCAGTCACACTAGCCACATTTCAAGTGCTCAGTGGCCACACATGGCTATTGGCTATTGTGGCTACAGTGCAGCTATAGAACATTTTCATTATCACAGTGTTTATTCTTGTTAATTAAATACTGCTGTCAACTGGTTCATTTTGATTGATTAAAAAAAAAAGAGGATGGATGGTATGAGAGGGAACCACTGGATTAGGACATGGTTTCTAGTCTTGGCTTTGACTCATCTCACTGTGTGATCTGTGGCCAGTTACTTCACAGTTTGTTGAGAATTGAATACACCACGTTAGTATCAGAGCCTTATACATTAAGTAAAAGTTATCCAAAATAGGAATATACTATTGATAATTCATTTATAAAGTTACAATGAGAAATACAGCAGTATTTTTTTTTTTTACTGGATAGAATATTTAAAAATGCTCTTGCTCTTAAACCTTCAAGTCCATTAGATGCTACCAAATTGTTCTCCACAGTGGTGCAAACTTATATTCTCTCAGTAAATTTTTATAATTTTTATTTGTTAATATATTTCTATAAAGCTTTTGTCTTTTGTCATGGAGTTACATTTCCTACTACTTGCAGTCCAATTAAATTTTATTCTGATCTTGGTTTAAAGAAGTTTTTACAGGTCCCTTATGTTTTGATGTGTGATTATATGGCAGTAAGATTGATTCCACTAGCCATACAGAAATTACTTTCATTACTTTTTAGCCATAGTTCATTGTTCCTAGTTTTAGTAAGAAATATATATTTCAAAAAAATCAAGTATTACTCTATCATTTTCACTAAAAAATTGTCATTTGTCACATTTAATATTTCAGAGTGCAATTATTGGCATTCTGCAGTTTTAATGATAATTAAGTAAGATTATTGCCAACCGTGGAAACATATTGTGATGGTTAATGAATTATTTACTGCTTTTCTAGTTTTTTAAATCTGTAAAATACTAAACAAAAATTAAAGCTTAAAAATTGTGCCATCAGTCCAATTAGGATAGTGAGGTTGTTTGTAGTGGATTTTTTCCCCCCAAAAATCAATGGTTTCTGTCTAAAATGTAATAATATTACCACCTGTGTCCTTTGCCAAGTGTTTTAAGCAGATTTGATCTTATTTTTGTGCAGTCGTTTTAAATTGAAGTTTGGTTCTGATTTTAATTGATAAATTTTCATCTTTCTTATCATAGCCTACGAGGAGATTACATTTTCTGAGTATTTAAAAACTCAAAAATTAACCCCCAACCTCCAATATTTTGTCCTGCATTCAATTGCAATGACATCGGAGACAGCCAGCAGTACCATAGATGGTCTCAAAGCTACCAAAAACTTTCTTCACTGCCTTGGCCGGTATGGCAACACTCCATTTTTGTTTCCTTTATATGGCCAAGGAGAGCTCCCTCAGTGTTTCTGCAGGTAAGACTGGCGTTGGTTCTCTTGTCTCTTCTTAAGGTGATACTTGAATAACAGATGAAAATTAGAAAGACGAAAATGAGATTTATTGAAGATTTAATATTTGCAAACATGTACTTTGTTGTCCTACTCTTTTATAATCAATCTATTTGTCTGCCTACATACCTACCTAAATGATATATTCAGTTTGTCATGTTTTTGAGCTTTATAAAATAGAATCATACTGTAAATTCCTTTACCCACTCAAAATTATGTTTCAAAGCATCATCCTTGTTGTGTATAAATATAGTTAACTTATTTTCATTCTATATAGTATTCCATTGTGAATACACCACGATTTATTTTTCCATTTTTCTGTTGATGGACACAGGATGTTTCCAGTTTTTTGCTGTTATTAACATCCTGTGTTTGTTTCAGGATATACATGTCAAGAGTCTCTCTAGGATAAATATCTAGGAGTGGAATTCCCAATCATGGGATATATGAGTGTTCATACAAGATAGTGCCCAATTGTTTCTCCAGAGAGTTGTACCAGTTTACATCCCCCTAGCAGTACGTAAGAATTCCCGTAGTGCTACATCTTTGCCAACGTTTGGTATTATCATAATTTTTAGTTTTTGTCAATCTTACTCAGATAAAATATCATCACATTGTATTTTTATTTTGTATTTCCCAGATTACTTTTGAGGATGAGTGTTGTCTTATATGGTTATTGGCTATTCATGTTTTCTCTTCTGAGAAATGTTTGTTAGTGTCTTTTGCCCATTTGTCTATTGGGTTATTTTTTTCTTATTGATTTGGAGGAGTTTTTATACATTCTGAATACTAATCTTTTCTTAGTTATATGTGTCGCATGTATCTTGCCTTATGGTATTTATGATGCATGGAGGTCATTAAGATTAATGTAGTCAAATATAGCAATCTTTTCTTTTATACTTAACACTTTTAGGGGTAGTAGAACATAGTAGTTAAGAACCTGGACTTTGGAGACAGACTGCCTAGATTTAAATCCTGATGCCTTCATTTATTAGCCATGTAACCTTGGACAACTTTCACAGTCAGTTATGTTTTCAAAGAATCAACTTTTGGGTTTTTGATTCTCTCTATTTTAGCTTTGTGTCCTAGTTCATTAATTTCTATTCTTTATTAATCCTTTATTTTGCTTTCCTTGGGTTGTTGTTGAGCTCATCCCTCCTCACCCTTGCCAGTTCTTAGGCTGAAACCCAATGAGTTAAATGTTCATCTTTTAAAATCTTCTAATAAAAGCATTTAAGATGATAAAGTTCTAACTACTGTTTTGAATCTTACACAGTTATTAGGTATTATTTTCATTATCTTTTAGTCCTAAGTATCTTTATTTCTGTTATCATTTCTTCATTGACCCATGAGTTATTATGAGGTGTCTTAAAATAGCTAATTTCCTTGATTCTTCTGCTCTTACCATCTAATTTAATTGTATTGTGTCTAGAAAATATGTTTTTATGGTACTAATTCTTTGAACTTTATTTTATGACTTAGTATGTCAATTTTTGTTATGTTTCCATGTGTGCTCGAGACAAATGTGTTTATCTAGTGGTTGGGTACAGGGTTCTCTAATTATTGGTCTTGGAGTCTAATAAGTCAAGCTTTGAGTTGTAATTTTCAAACTTTATTTTTATTGAGGATTTTTTTCTTTGATCTATCAATAATAGAGTAACGTGTTTTGAAATCTCCCATTATAATGTTTGATTTGTCAATTTCTCCCTATAATTTCTATCAATTTTTACCTTATATGTATTTTGAGAAACTTATTAAGGTCATATCAATTTATAATTCTTTAATCTTCCTGATGAATTTAATATTTTACACTATCTGCTGACTTTCTCCATCCCTAATAATGCATTTTTTTCTTAAAGTCTACTTTGCCTGGTATTCAAACAGCTACTCCAGCTTTTTATTCTTTGCCTGTTACATCCTTCTCCATCTCTTTATTTTTCAACTTGTCTGAGTCTATATTTAGAGCTCTAAATAGCATATTATTAGATGTTTTTAATCCCATCTGACAGTCTCTGTTTTCTACGAAGCAGGATGAGTCCTATTAACAGGAGTCTCTTCCTTCCTTCTGAAGTGTGTAATTTAAAAAGTTCCTCTAGTTTACATCTGTTGTTAGTAAATGCTTCCTAGTTTGTGTGTATATGAAAATAACTTTTTTTGCCTTTGTCTTGAGTGAAGATTTGCTAAGTAAACATTCCTAGGTTGGCAATTCATTTCTCTCAGCACTTGAAAATTTTATTCCACTGTCATTTGAGTTCCATTTTTGCTGTTGAAAAGTTTGATGTCAGCTTAATTGTCATTTCTTTATAAGTAATATCTCTCTTCTCTTTAGACTGTTTTTAAGATTGTTTTTGGAGTTCCGCATTTTCACTATAGTGAATTTGGGTGTTGGTTTCTTTCTATTTTTCTAGCTTGGTATATGTTGAACCATATGAAATTAACAATATTAAACCATTTTGACCTACAATTCCATTTGGTTCAAACGACTACATTGTATTTCCTCTGTCTGTGAATTGTCATTTATCACTTTGGAAAATTATCAGCCAATATCTTTGCAGATATTGTTTCTCCTCTATTATCTCTCTTCTCATCTTTTTGGAACCCCAAATCGATATGTTTTAGAACTTAGCATTCTCTCTTCCATATTTTTTAATCTCCCTGTCGTATTTTCTGACCCTTTGTCATTCTGGCTGCATTCTGAGTACTGTATTAAGATCTGTTTTCCAGTTTATTAATTCTCTTCACATGTGACTAATCTGTAGTTTAACCCTTTTATTTATTTAATTTTTATTGATGTCATAATAGTTTATAACATTGTGAAATTTTAGTTGTATATTATTGTCAGTCACCATATAAATGCATCCCTTCACCTCTTGTGCCCACTACCCAACACCCTTCCCCCTGGTAACCACCAAAGTGTTCTCTCTGTCTGTGTTAGTTTATCTTCCAGATATGAGTGAAATCACGTGGTGTTTGTCTTTCTTTGTCTGGCTTATTTTGCTTAACATAATACCCTCCATGTCCATCCATGTTGTTGCAAATGGGACGATTTTGTCTTTTTTTATGGCTGAGCAGTATTCCGTTGTATATATATACCACATCTTCTTTATCCAATCATCAGTCGAGGGACTTGGTTGCTTCCACCTCTTGGCTATAGTGAATGATGCTGCAACGAACATAGGAGTGCATAAGCCTCTTTGGATTGTTGATTTCAGGATCTTTGGATAAATAGTAGTGGGATAGCTGGATCATAAGGTATTTCTATTTTTAATTTCTTGAGGAATCTCCATACTGTTTTCCATAGAGGCTGCACCAGTTTGCATTCCCACCAGCAGTGAATTAGGGTTGCCATTTCTGCACAACCTCTCCAACATTTGTTATTTTTTGTCTTGGTGATTATAGCCATTCTAACAGGTGTAAGGTGATATCTTAGTGTAATTTTGATTTGCATTCCCTGATCATTAGTGATGTTGAACATCTTTTAATGTGGCTGTTGGCCATCTGTATATCTTCCTTGGAGAAATGTCTGTTCATAGCCTGTGCCCATTTTTTGATCAGGTTGTTTGTTTTTTTGCTGTTCAGTTGTGTGAGTTCTTGATATATTTTGGAGATTAACCCCTTGTCAGATATATGATTTGCAAGTATTTTCTCCCAGCTGGTAGGTTGTCTTTTCATTTTGATCCTAGTTTCCTTTGCCTTGCAGAAGCTCTTTAGCCTGATGAAGTCCCACTTGTTTATTTTTTCTTTTGTTTCCCTTGTCCGAGTAGACATGGAATTTGAAAAGATCCTTCTATGACCAACGTCGAAGAATGTACTGCCTATGTTTTCTTCCAGGAGTTTTATAGTTTCCGGTCTTTCCTTCAAGTTTTGATCCATTTTGAGTTAATTTTTGTGTATGGTGAAAGAAAATGGTCTACTTTCCTTCTTTTGCATGTGGCTGTCCAGTTTTCCCAGCACGATTTATTCAAGAGACTTTCCTTTCTCCATTGTATGTTCTTAGCTGCTTTGTCGAAGATTAGCTGTCCGTAGATCTGCGGTTTTATTTCTGGGCTTTCAATTCTGTTCCGTTGGTCTGTGTGTCTGTTTTTGTACCAGTACCATGCTGTTTTAATTATTATGGCTTTGTAGTATATTTTGAAGTCAGGGATTGTGATGCCTCCAGCTGTGTTCTTTTTTCTCAGGATTGCTTTAGCTATTTGGGTTCTTTTGTTGCCCCGTATGAATTTTAGGATTCTTTGTTCTATTTCTGTGAAGAATGTCATTGGGATTCTGATTGGGATTGCACTGAATCTATAGACTGCTTTAGGTAGTATGGACATTTTAAATATGTTTATTCTTCCAATCCATGTGCATGCGATATCTTTCCATTTCTTTATGTCATCATCGATTTCTTTCAACAATGTCTTATAGTTTTCATTGTGTAGGTCTTTCTCTTCCTTGGTTAAATTTATTCCTAGATATTTTATTCTTTTTGTTGTGATTGTAAATGGGATTGTCTTCTTGACTTCTCTTTCTGTTAGTTCGTTATTAGAGTATAGAAATGCAACTGATTTTTGTTAAGTTGATTTTGTACCCTGCAACTTTGCTGTAGTTGTTCATTATTTCTAATAGTTTTCCAATGGATTCTTTAGGGTTTCCTATATATAAAATCATGTCATCTGCAAACAGCAAGAGTTTCACTTCTTTGCCTATTTGGATTCCGGTTATTCCTTTGCATTGCCTAATTGCTCTGGCCAAAAGCTCCAGTACTATGTTGAATAAGAATGGCAAGAGTGGGCACCCTTGTCTTGTTCCTATTCTCAGAGGAATGGCTTTCAGTTTTTCCCTGTTGAGTATGATGTTGGCTGTGGGTTTGTCATATATGGCTTTTATTATGTTGAGGTACTTTCCTTCTATACCCATTTTGTTGAGAGTTTTTATCATAAATGGCTGTTGGATCTTGTCAGATGCTTTCTCTACATCTATTGAGA